GTCTTCTGGGTCACCAATGATGTTAAACCGTAAGGTGTTTGCATTTACTGCATCCAATACTTTGTCGTCACCTACTGTGCTAGAGAATGAGGTACTTGGCAAGATGTTGCCATACTCCTTTGTGCCAATTGCGCGTTACACTGGGGCAGGGTCTGCACCTCGACCATCAAGGGCAGCACGTGCAATTGATGCAACAGTCACCATTGCTCCACCTCCAGCACCTCTAAATGAAATACCACCAGAGTAAGTAATCCATTCATTCCTTTTGCTTGCTTCCTTCTATTTATGCTTATTATTATGCTCATTAGGTTAGAGGAAATTCATATACACATGATGCGCACTGTGGATGAGTTGGAGAATTTGACACGTCGACGTCGTTGGGGTCCTTTCACAGAGCTTAGGAGTCAGCTGCGTTGGTTTGGCTCTTGCTCAATGAGAGACTATGCAAATAAGCTCATTTATGCATATTTGCAAGGTGCTGCGAATATGGCGAACAAGCTTCTTGGCAACGCTATTGACAACTCTAGAGCAAGACATTTCTATGAGCAGGTCAATGCTGCATCCTTTGTTTCAGAGGAAGCGTTGGAGTCTATCTTTCCTGTAAGTCTTTTAGCATTCCTATTATTCACTTTCATTTCTCATTCCATAATTATAATAGGCTGAATTAACACATATTGGTGAACCAAAGTCCAACAATATCACTTCGGTACCTGAGTATCTTGCACAGTGGGTTTTCCAACCAGTAGATCAGGTGACCATGGAGGGGTCACAGCTTGTAGGAGTTATCGACCTTGGTCAAAATTATCGTCACTTGAAGGAATCACGGGTAGCATACATCATCACAGTACGCACTTTGAAAAGCACTGGCAGGTTAGAGGATGCATGTAGATTGTATGATACCATCATGGATTTGCTTGCTCCTATGAAGGTTACATTCATGCAAGATAGCAACAAGTGCGTTACAAAGGGCAATGTTAACCGTGTACCCAAGATCAAGTTTGTATCCTTTTAGGTTACCTTTTTTCCCTTTGCTTTTCTTCTGTTTTTTTTCTCTCTACAATCATTCAACCTTTTGTCTTCCCTTTCTTTTGTTGTGTGTGTATTTATACCTTACTCTCCTTTGCTTTTATGCCTTGCTCTCCTTTTTTCTTTTATGCCATTTTATCTTTTGTATGTCCTCTGTTTTGTTTACCATATGCTAGATACATTTATCTCCTTCATGTTTCTATATGCTTACCAATAAATATGACTTCTTTATTATAACATGGCCATGGCTACTAATGCTATCTGCATGCTTTATTGCAAGCTCATAGTCAAACAATTTTGTTTTCTATGCATTGATGTCTATGCTATACACCATTCTGTAGCGAAGGACCAGGTTTATAAGTGACTTTGCAATTTCAGGGTGATGCGATCACGTGAAGGCAACGTAACAGGCCATTGTAGTTGGAGGGACAAAGTGAAGACGCATTTTATTTGTCGTCGTAGATCATCATGCGATACACCATTCGATAGCGAAGGGCCAGGTTTATAAGTGAATTTGAAAACTCAGGGCAATGCGATCACGTGAAGGCAACGTAACAGGCCGTTGTAGTTGGAGGGACAAAGTTGACATGCAAAAACA